CTCAGTCTTGCGCAGGCCCGCGGCGATGCCGAATGATGCCCCGCGGGCCCCAGGATTTGAAGCTTTGATGTATTCCTAGTTAATCGAGTCTGTATTTTGTTTTTGAGTCTGTTTTGTATTTTCCTGTTGAGAAAAAGAAAAACAAATAGTTAGCTAAAGTTGTCTAATCCTTTATTGATTCATCTACCCGGCAGTGTCGAGATTGATTGTGTTTTTGAGTTTGTGTCTTCTACCCAGGGTAAAGTTTTTAACGACTAATAATTTTTTTTTGTCTTCTTTGTTTTCTCAACTTTTAGGGTGGCAAATTCGATCATGCTGACCGGCTTTTTCATAGCATTGGAGGAACATATCGGAACTGCCTTTCTAATACAAGTGATGTGAAAGAGTTGATTCCTGAATTCTTTTACATGCCAGAATTTCTGATCAACTCAAACTCATACCATTTTGGTGTCAAACAAGATGGAGAACCAATAGGTGATATTTGCCTACCGCCATGGGCCAAGGTATGGTCTCATTGCATATTTCTACTGAAGGCGTGGTTTAAGTGTTTCTTCAGCTGTATGATGAGTGCTTGTATCCCATCGAGGGGAAAATATGAAAAATGCCTAAGAAGGGAACTGGAAGCAAATTATAAGAGGTTCTCTAGTGCCTATAACCAGACTCCAGCCCAACACAGATGATTGCTATAGCTATGNATCTCAAAGACATTCCTTAAAATGTAACTAGTCAATTGTTCACGTATGGATTAATGATTGAATTTGCGGGTAAGAGAGCAAGGTTAACCAAAAGAGTTTCTCTGATAACATGTGAAAGAGTTTAAGCATCCAGCTCAAAACATTAAAATAGTGGGTGGAATAGTTTAGGACTTTTCTAAACATTTCTGATGCTCCTGTACACCCGATGTTGGGCATGGAATATATCTATAAGGGGATTTATTATATGGATGATGCCTGCAAATCTAAGAAGTATGGCTGGGTTAGGAAAAAGTTAAGTTTCTTCTACTCTTTTCATTAGTCATCAAATAACGATGTCAGGTGCTCCTCTCCTCTAACTTGGAAGTGAGCTTAACTGTTCTACGGAGAATCAATTTTATATGGAAAGGAACTAATTTTGGCTTTTCTCGTTTTTGTATTTCGTTTAGAGGAAAGGAAAAAAATAGGCCTGAAATGAATCATTCGAAAACCATAAATCGATATGTTGAACTGTTGGTACAAATAGAACAGAGTTTCTCATTGTTCAGTTCAACCCATTTATATCCATAAGTCGACCCTACATCCATGAAAAGGGTCTTTGTCATGTGAAACATATATAAGAAGGGAATCTAGAGATGGAGTGTGAGTGATAAAATGGGAAAGTACAACTTAGTTTTTGGATGGAACTAGTAGTCTTTGGAGAAAGCAATAAGAAGAGCAGTTTGCAGCAAATGCGCAGTCAGAATTCTGATTTTTCAGTTCCTACTATTTAAACCTGGAGTATCATTTTAAAGTAGCAAAAATGTGCTCAATCCATCATAATTTGGTTTCAAATTGAGTTCATTAGTTTGTTATGCACCCAAACAACTTCATGGAATTTTGGCTTTACTTGTTTCTTGTCTCTTGGCTTTAGAGAAACGGGAAAAAAGCCATAGACCCTGAATATCAATCATTTGAACACCGTAAAATGATATTCTCTGTTCGTGCAAATAAACAGGGGCTTATCATGGTTCAATTTAGTGTTGTTGAAGGCTCATTTGAGGCACGCTTAAGCCCTGAAATTGGTTAAGTGAGGTAGTGCGCTCCATCTCGCGTAAGTAGCGCTTTATTTAAGCTCTTAACAGTGTAGTCAAGGGCGCGCTTAAGCCTTGTAGCGAGGCGCAAAACATGTTGGTAGTCCCACAAGTGGGGTCTGGGGAGTGTAGAGTGTACGCAGTCCTTACCCCTACCTTTAAGAAGGCAGAGAGGCTGTTTCCGGTTGACCCTCCGGAAAAATAAATGGAGCCAAAGAAAAATATCTCCTCGTATAGTGACTGACCAGTGTGTAAAGAATTGAGAGAACAGTAAACTGAATACGGTTCATAGTTGAGTGCTGGAATGTTCTGTGGCTCATTAATATTGAAGATAATAATTCTACCTTCTATTAGAGGGATATTTTACAATCATTATTGGTTATAACTCTTTTTGGACCCAAATGAACTAGTTCTGAAGATACAAGTGAAGTAGAATTCAAAAGCAAAAATCACGAACAAATCATCTAATTCTGGTGCACTCGAAGTATGAACATAGATTGCCTTCCATGTTTTCTATCGGATCTACAGAGAAAATATAATTACCTACAACAAAGATAAATTTAACTCGATCTGATCTAATTAGCAGCTCACCTTAGCTTAAATTCTTCAAAATTTTGCTCTTAAGCATAGATGACGCCTCTTGCCATGAAGATAGGGGCAAAAGCCACCAACTCCCCAGAATTCCAACAAGAGTAAACTCCTGATCTTGTAGTTCGACCTTAGCCAGAGAGAGAAACAGATAATCTGCAACTTCAACTTTCTTTGCATCTATGATATTTCGCTTTATCGTAAAAAAAATTCAATTTCTTTGTCCATATATTTGTTACTCATGCTTATAATTATTAGTCTTGGACTACACACATATATTTGTTATTCATGCCCACTCTTTATTTGCACTTTGCGCTTAAAGCCCCAACGGACGTCAAAGAGTTTTGCGCTTTTCTCCTTTGATAACACCGGATCGAGCAGATAGGGAATTCAAAGTCTACGTTAGTCTGAAAATATGCAGAGTGGTTGTGTTTTCCTTCTCTGAAGCGCATGCCTTCACCTATGAGGCACTAATCCCCTCGCTTCGCATCGCTTGAGAAGCAGTAACTTGTAATAACACTAGTAATAAGATAGATATGCAAAAGAGTTTATTATGGAACACCGTATTAGCATGCATACTACGAGTATGGGAAAAGATGAACTGTAGATGTCTTGAAAACAAGGCTGTTGCAGTGCATAGACTGAAATGTAAATGTTTATCTCTTTTGGCTTTTTGGACTTGTTACTTGAATTTCCCAGTTCCCTCCTGGAGCAAAATTGATTGGCTCTTTTGTCACCTGTATATAAGTGGGCACCCAGTCACTTGTATATAAGTGGGCACCCTCTTAGTGCTGTTTTTGTGGAGCTAACCCTTGTGATGTTCTTTTTTCTTCTTTACTATTTAATGTATTTTTAAATGCATGTACAGGGTTCTCCTATTTTCTTTACTATTTAATTTTCAAATGCATGTACAGGGTTCTCCCGAGGAATTTATTTGTAAGAACAGAGAAGCCCTTGAAAGCGAATATGTGAGCTCAAATCTCCACCACTGGATTGATTTAGTGTTTGGTTACAAGCAGCGGGGAAAACCAGCAGTTGAGGTATAGGGAATCAGCTTTAACATCAATTAATTCTAGAACCAGTTGCAGGTTTTGAATTCACTGAATTTTTGGAGATATTGTCATACAGGCAGCAAATATTTTTTATTATTTGACATATGAAGGGGCTGTGGATCTGGATACCATGGATGATGAATTGCAAAGGTCGGCAATAGAAGATCAAATTGCCAACTTTGGTCAATCACCAATTCAACTTTTCCGGAAGAAACATCCTAGAAGAGGACCTCCAATTCCAATTGCCCATCCTCTACGATTTGCTCCTGGTTCTATTAACCTAACATCAATTGCTTCATGCGGAAGCAGTTCTTCGTCAGCTACTCTGTATGTTAATGTGCTGGACTCAAACATTGTCCTTGTGAACCAGGGCCTCACCATGTCGGTTAAGACATGGGTGACCACCCAGTTGCAATCCGGTGGGAACTTCACCTTCTCTGGCTCACAGGTAAGTTTTAGAGCAATAACAAGGTCAAGCATTATGATTAGTTAGTCAGATTTGAAGTCATTTTTAACTTTCTTGCAGGATCCTTTTTTCGGGATTGGTTCTGATGTTCTTCCCCCTCGGAAAATTGGGAGTCCTTTGGCTGAAAATATTGAGCTTGCAGCACAATGCTTTGGAACATTATCAACAACATCTGAAAATTTTTTGATAACATGTGGTACCTGTGAAAACAGCTTTCAGGTTATATCGCTAACTGATGGCAGAATGGTGCAGAGCGTTAGACAACATAAAGATGTTGTGAGCTGCATTGCAGGTAATTTTCATGACTGTAATATGTGGCAACTTGGTTGGAGCTTCTCACTAACAAATCTACACACCGAGTGTCTCGAAAAATGAAGTAAGCTGAGAACCTATATGAGATGAGCGCCGGAAGCATGAATTTTCTAAATGATTCTTGTCATGGGATAGTAATTAGGAACTGAGAGCATTGACATTAGACTGACTTAGCAGTCCAGAAAATCCTGTTGTTGTTCGAAGGATGTAAAGTACCATTCTTGTACTTGGCATCTTCTATAAACCAACTATTAGCCAGACCTTCCTGGCATTGGATTACTTGTCCATTTAAAATTGCAGACCTCTGACTTGTTTAATTGGGTGCTTATAGTATCTTTCTGTTGAAAATTTGTGCAAAGCGACATGTTAAAAAATGGTAAATAAATATATTATGGTGGAGCAAGTAATTTTGATAATACTCCTGTCTCCTGATTCTTGATCTCTTGCTTAGCTTTTTCCATTTTTTGTTTCATAGGAAACAGGCAAAAATGGAAAGTAGGGCTTCTCATCCTATAGTTAAAAATTGTTTTGAATTCATGGGGAATAAGCAAAACAACTGAACAGCTGTTCCGATATTTTATCATCACATCTTGTCATTGTCATCTATCCCAAGCTTCTTGATTTCCCAATTAATCTTTTCTTCATAATGCACAAACCATGTAACGTTAGTCTCCACCCTGCACCTATGTTAAATTATATTGATCCAAAGAGGGAGTAATAGGCTTGTGAGATTTCTAATAAATGAAATTGCATATTTTGGGAATAAGGACTTTAAAGTAAGAAGGCAAAGCTTTTATTGCACCTGATAAAACAGTAGTTATACAACACTAGGCGATATCTTCTCATCTGTCCAAGCCTTGATGGACAGAGTTACCTTATATATGTGCTGGTTGGAGGTAACAGGTACCGCGTGGAATTAATCGAGATTAGGGAACAATAGTTATACTACAATCCTTATTTGCTTATAGTGCAGTGAATCAGTTAGGAACTGAGAATTTTTTAACTGGATAGTACTGAGTATTTATATGAGAACAGGCTAAGTTATTATGCCAAAGTTGAGGGGTGTGTTTCCTATCATGTCGGTACAGTTAATTAACAAATTTTTGACGTTGAAGAATACCAAAATATCAAACACTTGTTGTTCAATCTTGGCAAAGAGGAACAATCAATGTGGAGTAGAGCTCCGTAACTTTTGAAGGCAGTGTATTTATCTGTGAATATTTATTTCCATTTTGTTTATTCCCTCTAAGAGGCAGTAAGAATGATCTCACATGATGGACAATATTCATTACTAGGAGCAGGATAGGGCACAGTTCTGAAACTTTTTCTTGTTTTTGGTCCTTGGCTTCCTCTACCAAGAAAAAATAGTCACCTTCCGAATGTTAAATTGGTATCTCTTTGTTTTGATGACTTTTAGATCTTTACCAACTGTCTAGGATGAAGATTTGAAAATACAGACTCTCCACATACAAAGCAAAGCAACCAGCTTTCTGGCCTACCTCAATCAGGGTAGTGCTTATCTACAAATACTGCCCAACAGCAGAACCTCCAACTTAGACACTTGAAATATTTTAAGCAGTTTCAAGAAAGATATCATGGATCAATTTGGCAAGCTCAACGAATATATTCCTCAATGTACATTTAACAAATGCAGATACTTTAAGCAATCACACCAACCCAAAGCACGAATGAATAATCAATAATCCAAAAAGGGCACGCACAAGCTCAGCAAAAACAAATTCCATATGCATTAAACAATATCGCCGACTAAACAATAGTATTAAACATTTGAAGCT